CCTAACCCTAACCCTAACCCTAACCCTAACCCTAACCCTAACCCTAACCCTAACCCTAACGAAAGAGATAACCTGGGAAGAGGACATCTCCCCGAAGTTGTGACTAGGCCAGGAAGGGGGCAAGGAAAGCAAAGACGCGCTTACAGACCCACAACCAAAACCTCCTGCGCAATTAAAGAAAAAGAAATGAAATAAGAAAGATAAGGCCAAGAAAACGGAAACATAAAAGAAAGTTAGATTTAACCTTGAAAAATTACTGGTATCACTACAATATGACAATCGACGATAGAAAGCAAAAATTGTATAAATTGACAGAATTATTGCTAGATATTGCATAGAACTAGCCGAACTTGATATAGTATTAGCAAAAGTGAAAGAATAAGCTAAAGTTGATGAGGATGAGCCTTTAGCTAAAATACTATGGCAATATTGGAAGTATAAAAAATTATACCAGCAAGTACTTGAAGAAGGACTACTACCTCACTTAGAATGGGATTATGAGATCGTTCTTAAGGATGGAACTTCACTAAAGCTTTATAAAATCTATAATCTTAATGAAATTAAGCTTAAAACGCTTAAAGAATGGCTATAAATGCAATTGGATAAAGGATACATTAGGGTGTTAAACTCTCCAGCAGGGTACTTTATTATCTTTATACCTAAGAAAAATGGAAAGCTTTGTTTAGTTATTGACTACTGATAGCTTAATGAAATAACTGTTAAAGATAGAATGCCTTTACCATTAATTACTGAAATTAGGGAAAGACTATAAGGCATGAATTGGTTTATAGCTCTGGATTTTACAGGAGCCTATGAACTTATAAGAATGAAGGAAGGACATGAATGGATGACTGCCTTTAAGATGAGATATAGACTATTTGAATACTTGGTTATGCTATAAGGACTTATGAATGCACTAGCATTATTCTAGAAGAGAATTAACTTTATTCTTAAGGAATACTTGGATGACTTTGTAGTAGCTTACATCGACGATATTTTAATCTTCTTAAGGACATTAGAAGAATATAAGGAATATGTCCATAAGGTGTTATAGAAACTATAAGACGCCAAGCTTCTTGTTAACCTAGATAAATGCTAATTTTACATATAATGAGTTGAGTTCTTTAGATATATTATTACGCCAGGAGAAGTTTGAATGAACCTAGATAAAGTTGCTGCTATCTGAGACTGGGAACTCCTAGAAATACACAAAGGATTATAAAGTTTCTTGGGACTCGCCAACTATTATCGGAGATTTATCTAAGGATACAGTAAAATTGCAAAACCATTGACTGATGCTACTTGACTTGAGGAAGACGAGAGGGGCAAAAAGAAATAAAAAGACAGGAGACTATCCTGGACTGATGAAATGAAATCAGTATTCCAAGAACTTAAGGATGCCATTACTAGTGAACTAATACTTACTATGTATGACCTAAGTAAGCCTGTTGAAATAGAAACAGATGCTTTTAACTTTGCTTTAGGAGGGACCTTGGGACAATGAGATAAAGATAGAAGACTTAAGCCAGTAGCTTTTTTCTCTAGAAAACTATATGGCCTAGAACTGAGATATCCCATCTACGATAAGGAATTCTTAGTAATTATTGAAGCATTTAAAGAATGGCGATATTATTGCCTAGGAAATAAGTATAAGATTAAAGTCTACACCGACCACTGGAATATATTTTACTTTATGACTATGCAATGACTTTCTGTACGATAAACTTATTACTTTGAGTTCCTAATGGACTTTGATTATGAGATTATTTATTGTAAAGGAATGGAGAATGGAAGAGCTGATGCTTTAAGTTGAAAGGAAGAACACTTTGAAGAAATTCCTGAATTTGAAGCATAAATTCTACATAAGAACAATTAAGGGAATTATGAGTAAATTAGAATTGATACTCTATTTGTTGTGGAAGAATATAACCCTATCCTTAATAAAATTAAGGATTAAGTTAAGGACTGGTAACTAGAATAGTTCCCTGAGGAAGTAACTATAATTAATGGACTCTTAAGATGGGGTGAGTAAATCTGGGTACTAGAAGAATTGCAAATAGAAGTAATTTAGGACGTCTATCGTTACATAATTGCAGCAGCACATTGAGGTATTAAAACCACATACAATCATGTGATATGCTACTATTAATTTAAGGGACTCCGACGGAAAATTGAAGAAGTTATTAAAAAATACAATATGTGCAAGAAAATAAAGGACGAACGACATTGGCCATATGGGAAATTACAACCTATCCCAGTTCTTAAATGGAATTGGCATACCGTTATGTTTAACTATATCACTGATTTACCAGGATTAAAGGAACCGTTAACTAATACAGTCTATAATAGCATCTTTGTGGTAGTAGACAAACTCTTTAAACAAGCCTATTTTCTATTACACAAGAAGTCTTATACTGCAAAAGATTTAGTATATCTTTATATAAGGCATGTTTTTGCAGAACATGGATTACCAGCGGAAATCATATTGGACAGAGGAAACACCTTTGCTTTTAAATTTTAGCAAGAACTTATGGCTAAACTTAGAATCTATTACAAGCTAAGCACTGCATACCACCCATAAACGGATGGCTAAATGGAAAGAATGAACCAGGTTATTGAAGTATATTTATGATGCTATATTAACCTTGCATAAGACGATTGGGTAGAAAAACTTCCTGCAGTATAAAATCAGTATAATAGTTCTGTTTTGGAATCTACAGGAGTTACATTATTCTACGCTAATTATAGATTTACACCGGAAGCCTATAGACTACCTTGCAATGGTCTAAATGCGGAAAATGCTTAAATTTTAGCTGAAGATATGATCTAATTATAGGAAGAACTTAAGGAATAACTTGAGTTTATCTGAGACTGCATGAAGCGATAAGCCGACTGTACAAGGATTGGAGGACTAACCCTTTGGGAAGGGGACATGGCCTACTTATTATGGCATTTGTGCAATAAAAAACTGCTAAACATTAAAATAAATTGACCAAGTGATAAACTGGATTTTAGAAAACTTAGACTATTTAAAATTTTGAGAAAAATTGGAGAAGTTAACTATGAGTTGGACCTACCCGATAATATGAAATTGAAAACAGCTGTTTTTTATGTTTTACTACTAGAAAAGGCACTAGTGGATGAAGAAATAGGCGAGCTAATTATGGATGAAATCATTGTCCAGGACGAAGAAGAAGAATATGAAATTGAAAAACTAACTTGCATGTAAATAAATGAAGAAACAGGTGAATGAGAATATCTCGTAAGATGGAAAGGATATGACTTATCTGAAGATACATGGATCCCTGAGAAAGAACTTAAGAGGAACGCTTAGGCAATCCTGCGGGGATACCACCAGTCTCTAGGGATGGAAATAGCGACGGGTCCAGGTTAAACGCAGACTAATTAACGACGTTGACGGACTGGGACGGGCCGGCGGAATTAGGCGCTGCTAGGGTAGTCTGACGAGCGGCCTCCGCAGCCTCCCTTTCCTTGCGCTTAATACGCTCCAATTCCTCTAAATCATTGATACCATGGGAAATAGCTTGTGCTGCTTTCTCCTTCCAATCCTTATGCTGTTTATGAAGACGAGCAATCTTGGCCATCAGGCGTATTGCCTCCTTTTCAGCAGCCTTAACTTTATTATTTAACTGATCTCGGCGATGGGAAATTTGTAATAATTGCTGAGCAGTGAGAAAAGCCTTATAATGAGACCTGTGATCTTTTATATATTTGGAATAGCGACTTGAATCTTTTGCTGAGGCAAGGCATTGAGTACCTTTCTTTTTATATAAATAATAAGGCTTTATTTTGGTAGGATGAGAAAGAATAGATGCAGCAAGTGCTATACTTTTGTTAACCTTCTTTTGTTTCTGAGAATTAGGAATTTTCGATTTCTGGATACGATAAGATATAATGGATACTGGGAAAAGAATATGGAGAAGGAAAATAACTTACCAGGAAGGATGCGGGTACTTATATATTAAATGACTAGGTCTTGGGGATAAGACTAATAGAGGGGGAGTATTGTGTTATGATCTAACTCTTATGGTTGCAACTATGGGCCTACTGGGTAGGCATCGCTGGATTAACTTAGGCCCGGCGCACCAATTAGCGATGGGTCGACATGAATCATGTTTGATCTATCTTGACGTACACTTAGGATCGATGGGAATTAACATCGATCTATTATGATCCAGAAATATTAACTGGATATATAAGTTTACTTCTTATGCTTATTTAAATAACTTAGATAGCTAGTTGTTAATACAGTTTTATATCTACTGATTGAAAAGCACTTTTAATCCTTACTGGTGATTATTATTGTAATATTATTGCCTATAGGTTTCCTAACCTATCTGCCAATATAAACCTAAAGAACTTATTCTAGGTTTGTCCCTTGGGAATCTACCCTATACTAACTATCTAGTGTACGGTTCGTCACAAGTAATTATAAAAAAAGGATATTTTAAATATAAAAAAAAGATTTAAGTATTTAAAGAATTAAAAAAGGATATAGTAAAATATATTTATAAGCACCTGCTGTATAAACATAAAGGAATATAGAAAATATATAATTAAGTCTTTATATACTATAAAGTAATTAAACTTAAAGTATATATTTAATATATTATATTATATTGCAGTATATGCTAATAGATAAAAGATAGAAGATATAAATTATATAGAAAACTATAACTGCTGCTAGTAATAAAATAATTATAGAAATTAGTAATATTTAACTATATTATTAACTTACCTTTTTTTACTAAACCTTTTATAAAAGTAAAATATAATAGTATTTTTATAGTAATTTACTGCTTTTTAAAAGAAGTATACTTTTTGCTATATAATAAATTATATACAGCAAAAGACCTTGCTTATACTTATATAAAAATAATTACTGTAAATTATAGACTATTAAAAAAAATAATATTAAATAAAGGATAAATATTTGCTTTTAAATTTTAGCAGGAATTTATAGCTAAATTAAAAATAAATTATAAATTAAGTACTATATACTACCTTTAAATAAATAAATAAATAGAATGCATTAATTAAATTATTAAAATATACTTAAGATGCTATATTAACTTTATATAAGATAATTAGGTAAAAAAATTACTAGTAGTATAATACTATTATAATAGTATACTTTTAAAATCTATAGAAATTATATTATTTTATATAAATTATAGATTTATATTAAAAGTATTTAAATTACTATAAGAAGGACTTAACTCTAAAAAAGTAAGACTGTAAGTAAAACTAATAATTAATTTATATAAAGAAATACATATATAACTTAAATTTATTTAAGATAGAATAAAAAAGTATATAGATTAAGATAGAATTGCAGGATTAATTTTTAAAAAAGGGGATATAGTTTACCTATTATAATATTTATAAGGCTATAAATTACTAAATATTAAAATTAATAAACTAAGTAATAAGTTAAATATTAAAAAAATAAGACTTTATAAAATTCTTAAATAAATTAAAGAAGTTAATTATAAGCTAGTATTACTAGATATAATAAAGCTTTAAAGCCTAGTATTTTATATATTATAACTAGAAAAAGCATAAGTTAATAAACTTATAGGAAGATTTATTTTAGATAAAATTATTATTAAAGATAAAGAAGAAGAATATAAAGTTAAAGAAGTATTTACTATATGCTAGAACTCTAAGACTAATAAAATAAAGTACTTTATTAAATAGAAAGGATATTTTAAACTAAAGAACTTATAGGAATTAAAAGAATACTTTAACTTTTAAAAGCTAATATAGAGGTTTCTTTATTCTATGAGATTAATAGACTAAGGTTTATAAACTCTAGGCTAATGCTAAAGAAGGATTAATTAATATTATTAAAAACCTCTATATACTAAAGATTACTTACTATATTATTTTCTTTATTTAACTTCTGTATTTTATAATAAATTAACTTACTACCTTGCTCTTTTATTTTACTTTTTATATAATAAATATAAGCCAGGCGGCTTACTGCTTTAAAAAGTTTAACTTATAATTTAAAAAGCTAAAATTAAAGGGACTTTAAGGCTTTACCTATAGCCTCTTCTTTTACTTTTAGCTTCTTTTACTAATTTAATACTTTTATTACTAAAACTAAAATATTAGTAATATAAATAAATATAGGAATAAAGCTTACTTATAAAAAGAAGCTACTAGGACTTTATTATAAGAATAACTGCATTTAATATATTTATAATAATAAAAAGAATTTTTTATTATTTAATAAAGAATCTTTTTTTAAAAGCAATAGGTATATAGTATATTAGAATTAAAACTATAAGAAAAAATAAATAATGTAAGAAGGTTGTGCTTATGGGTTTTATAAAGAACTGACTTAAATATTTAATTAGTTATTATACTATTATTTAAGGAAGTAAGTTATAGATAATAGAAATGGGAAGAATAAATATATTTATAAATTATAAGGACTAATGTATGCTTAGCCTTAAGGATAAGACTAATAAAGAGGGGGTATTGTATTATAACCTAATAACTATAAAATATATACCTATAGATAAACTATAGATTAATAGGCTAATTAAAAGGGGATTACTTATAGAAGCATAAGCTATCTTTAATGGATTATAAATATTAAAGTAAGCTACCTTAGAAGGATTATAATTAAGATTATAAGCTTTATAGAATGATTTACTATATAAAAACTATTTATTATGCTTATTAAATAGAACTTAGATAGTTAGTTGTTAATATAGCACTTTTAGATAATAATTAAATTAATTATTTATAATCTTATTAGCTATATAACTGCATTGCTTATAAGACTTTAACTTATCTCTCTGCTAATATAAACCCGATGTTAAGTTTATAGATTGGAAACCTACCCTATACCTAAGTACGATAGTATAGGTCAGGACGTTACATATAGCTATAAATAATACTATTCCTTTTTTTATAATAACTGCTTTCTGGTTATATACTATTAATATATAACTTATTTTATTTAGTTAGAAGATTAATATAAGGTTAAATTTAGCATTAGAGATATAAAGTGTTTTACTTAAATTAAGTTTTTAGATTTCTTTATTTATTATAGTCTTTAGTAAATAATTGCTGGATTCTTCTAGGGTAAGTTAAGTTTTTTTAATTTTAGTTATTAATGCTTTATTTAATTTATTATAAGTCTAGAAGTAGTCTTTTAAGCAGATAATATAGTTAAAGGCACTGCTGTTTAATATAAAAACTATAGATAAGTTTATTTTTAGTGTTATTGCTTTTACTACTTATAGATAGTTAAGTTATACTCTGGCTAAGAGGAATTTATTAATTAAAGCTTTATTTAATAAGCTTATATTCTATAAGAAGGTAAGGGCTATATTTTTTTTATTTTATATATTGCTTGATGTAAACTATAGTTATCCTGCTGCTTTAAGTTTCCTTTTCTTGCTGTTTGTAATAACTTAAGCTTATAGTTCTAGATAAAGGTGGAAATACTTGTCTTTAATATATTCTAGCTTACAGCAGTGTTAGTAAATAGACTGTTATTTTATAGATAGGAATATAAGATTAAGGCCTTGTTGTTTCTGCAATAGTTTTTTTTATTTAATTGCTATAACTACTTCTTTAAAGGTAACGGCTGCCTTTATTATATTGCTGTTGTCAGCTCTTTTTAGTAATAGCCTATATAATTAATAAAAAGCAGTAAGGAAGATCTTATAGTTATTTTCTAGTCTAGTGAGAAATTTATTAATAAGATTTAGAGTTTTTATTTAGACTGTATTATCTAGCTGTAGGAGTTTTTTATATATAATTTAAAGCTTTTAGGCGAAATCTGCTATATTAGTATAGTCTTTTAATATTAAGGAGGTATATTTCTAGTTTAGATTTTAAAAAACAGCACTGCCTACTGGCTTATACCTATTCTTAAGTTTCTTTATTATTATAGCCAGGACTATTTCTTTTTATATAAGCTTATAAAGTAGGAATAAAAAACAGCTGTAGATAAAAGCAACTATTTATTTTTAATAATCTTTTTAGTTGCTTTTTCTTTTAGTAAACTTATTATTAGTTTTGCCTGCCTTTTATTTTAAGGCCTTCTTTTAAAGAAGATCTCTAAATCTATTAATTTTAATTATCTCTTGCACTTTTTATTCTTATATAATCTAACTATTTAATAACGTAAGTAGTTTAATTACAGCCGCTGCTTTTTTAAGTTTAAAGGTTTTAGATATATTTAAGTATTTTAAGTTTAATAGCTGGTTTGCTTTTTATAGCTAGTTGCTTTATTTTCTGCAATATACTTACTTTTTATTATTAGACCTTAGGCTTTAAAGATAGACTTTTAACTTCTAGGTTTTTATTACGACCCAACAACTATAAGATATATACCCATGGATAAACTATAGATCGATGGGCTAATTAAAAGGGGATTACTTATAGAAGCGTAAGCTATTTCTGATGGATTATAAACACTAAAGTAAGCTACTTTAAAAGGATTATAATTAAAATTGTAAGCCTTATAGAATAACTTACTATATAAGAACTATTTATTATGCTTATTAAATAAAACTTAAATAATTAGTTATTAATATAGCACTTTTAGATAATAATTAAATTAGTTATTTATAACTTTATTAGCTATATAACTATATTACTTATAAGACTTTAATTTATCTTTCTATTAATATAAACCTAATATTAAGTTTATAAATTAAAAACCTACCTTATACTTAAGTATAATAATATAGGTTAAGACATTATATATTAATAACTTTTATTTAAAAAATCTTTTGGAATTTTATAAATAATTAAATTACTATAACTAAAAATAATACTGCAGCTCCTTAAATTACTCTAGCACTTGCTGCAACCTTTAAATCTATTAGACTTATTAATATAGATGGCGATTTTGCTATAAGCTATAAGCCTGACTAAAATAATCTAGAGGGAGATGCTTTAAAAGAATATCTTTAGAATATATTTTAAGTTAATAAATAATTAATTAATACTTTAAATAATAAAAAAAAGAAAATTAAGAAGAATATAAGAATTTTTATTAAGTAATAACTACCTCTTATGTTTAATAAAAAGATTAATAAACTTAAACCTTTTTAAATTTAACTTAAGGCCTACTTTATAGAC